AAGAAGGGTCTAGGCCCGAAACGTCAGCTTTCCTGCTCCTCTGATGCGGCTTGGCCTGCTGTGTTCATCCAGCTCTACACCTTGTTATCTCAGATTCTCCAGCATCTGCAGTTCCTACTATCTACGATTTATTGAATTGCAGTTTACAAATACAATATAAATAATATTTCACGTGCTGGGGGAGAAAACATTATATCCTCCGCAGACAATGCAAAAGGCTTTTAACTAGCTGGAATTCATAGCCAACAGCATTGGTCTCAGCACACTGAAAGGTAAGGTCCTGTGTAAGGAGAGGGGTTATTAATGCCACTGAGTAAGTAATGCCGTGAGTAAGGTGAATGGTGGATTTGTAAGACAATGTGAACTAGATGCAGTATTATGTGTATATTTGTTTGTACAACTCTGTATTGAGGGCTATGTTTCAAATGTGTTTCATTATCTTCAATTGGTTTTAAGATTTTTTTCTAAGGTTGTGAAACATGTTATATAATGCAAATCTTATTTAAATGTGTATGTGAACAGTGGTAGGAGTCATCTGTAGCACTACCACCACCAACCCATTCCTAAGCCAGCTCTGCCATTTAATCTGATTAATCCGACTGAAACCTCAAATCCACAGTTCCACCTACCCCATTATGTAAATTGTGTATGTGTATAATATCTGTACCATAAACTCATTTAAATATATAGTCATTAAATAATCATACTTCTATCTCATTTTGAATAATCATATGTTCTTTTTGTAATTTCACAGGTTTAGTAAGGGAGTTCAGATTAAAAGTAAATTCTTTTGAAATAGTAAATTGAAGATATTTAAATTGGTTTTAGTATTTCATTTATGTAACATATCTATTATATTTATGTAATTGGCCACTTCTTGCATTTATGGATATAAAATGATTTACGTGCCAGATGATGGTATTTCTGCTTTTTCGTGAAGCTGCTTCGTTGGGTGATGATCTAAGTTGAGAAATCGAAGCATGATTTCATTGGGCTACCTGTCTGATATTGACCATGAAGTGAAGAAGAGAAATTATATAAACTTTCATCACACAAGGTTATAATTTTTTGTAATCGTTATTTGATAATTTGAATTTTAAAATAGCAGTAAATGGGTTTTAGTTCTGTGAGGGTGACTTCTTTTAAGGTCAGAAAGTCATTTTGAACGTAGAGTTCAAACATCAGTTCCAAGAAAATATGTAACTTGAGCTAACTGGCTTGGATCAGCTACCTGGGAGTTTAATTGCTGAACATTTACTAAATTCAGTTTTCTGACCTTCTGAGACATAGATCAGCAGAGGCCACTATCAGGTCGATTTTAAAGCAAAAGATTTATTGGCAGAAAGGCCATGAGTATAGTGGAGAGTTCAGTTGAAAGAAGTCACCGGGTTGTGAGAGTTCAAAAGAAATCTCTAGACCATTAAAACTAAAGAATTTGTGAGCTATTTCAGCAGTTTGAGGAGAAATGCTGGGAAGCATCAGCATCTGTATGTGTGTCTCTGAGAGAGAAATTGCATTTAGTGAATGCGCAGAAAGTCAGTTGAGTCAGTAGTGAGGAGTTAAGATAGTGAAAAGTTACTTTGCTAAAGTTGAATGTCTGTATAAGATTTTCGCTTGGACCAAAGGTTAAATTTTTCTTTTGCTGTTTAAGGTGAGACCTTCCAAAATTGTCTTGTATGTGTAACATGTATAGCTTTTTAATAATTTTGTGTACTGCACTTTGCCCTTTTATAAATAGTATGTTTGCAGCCATGTTTGAACATGTTCAGTAACTAATCGCAGTAACCAAAGTGCAAACACAAACCTCTCATGATCTATCAATCCAGATTTCACTCTGGGATCTGACTTGTTCAATACTACCATCGGTTGGGATCAGAACATTTTGTCGCCTTTCTGGATCTGACATATGAACTGCTGGTTGAGCATATTTTTGCGATTAATGCAACTGCATGTTTGGGATTTTTCCCATGTATTATGTGATGAAGACTAATTCACAAATTGCATTCTGCAGAGTTTTGATGGTGGTTGAAATTTGTGTATGGAATGCAAGTGCACGAATCACATGTTTATTAAATGTTGGGATTCAATGGGGAAGAAGAAAATACCAGTTATGATTTTGCACAACGTCACCTCCCTCTGAGGAATTGAGTCTTTGCGGCACCACATGGATGAGATTGTCCCTCAGTGGTTAATACTTAATACATTCATTTACCTGTTTTTCATCTGCTTTGAATGCAGTCCTTAATTTAAAGTTCTTCAGTTATTCTGTAGAATATTTCATGGTACATCAGTTATGAACGTGGATATATGTCAGACTTCTTGAGATCTGAAGCTCACACTTACTTTGTTAGCTGAAGAAAGGGAGCATTTTTCTTTGTGTAGGACTCTCCTTTTGAAGTTTCTCCAGTTTTCACGCATTTCATTTCTGTACTTCCTGAGTGAACATTAATTGAGTTATGAAATAAGAGCTTTCATTTTTAAAAAGTTGCTGTTTTGCAATCAAATGGTTTAATTGTATAATTATTCATAGCGATAAAACTTCGACGTTATTTTCAAATCTTTAAAAGACATTGGGTCTTAATTGTTAAGAAACCGACTCAAACTGGTTGCCAGCAAGTAATTACTCCATGTTGACAATGCAGCTTTTTCAAGTGACAAAGGAACAGTTATCTACTCCACTGGTTTTGATTAATTTCCATTCTACATTTTTCAAATTATCAAAATGGTAACCGATTTTAACACACATCTACAATTCAATTTGCATGAAAGTACATTGTGTTTTAAATCCAATAAAGCATAATTTCATAATAGTAGTGGTGATTAACTACTGTTTAGCCCTAGCTTTTAGAAAGTATTTGGAACAATGTGGCAAGAACCTGAAAATTGTTTATAAATATATTGCAAGGTTTTTCTTTGCGTAACAGCATAGAAGATATGATGATAAAGAACTCAGACTTGTGCCATTAATCTTAATTTGTTAAACAAGCAAAGTAATATAGATGTCGACTGAAACAACTTTTATATTTCTTTGGTCAGCAAGAATGGATTTTTTTTTAAACAGGCAGACTGTTGACTTCATCAATAATTGAAACATTTACATTGTTTGCACTATTCTAAGCACTCCTAGATCCACCACAATACAAACAATAAAATACCATCAACTGGTGCGCTGGAACTTTATTATTCCCTCTGCAGATTTCTGGTCAAGTCTTGAATGTAGTGTGATCTTAATACAAAGTTATTGCTGCTTATGGGCAGAAGGAACATGGTTGAGTTTGACCAAGCTAACTCTCAGCAACAATGTGGTGCATCTGAGTCTTGGTTATGGGTTTGATTTGAGTCATTAAAAAAAACTAATGTGTAAACAGCTTTGGTATCAAGTTACATAAAAAGTGTCAGTTTTGAAGTTTAAGTTGTCACTTGAAAGAATACATTTATTTTGGAACACTTACAAGTACGTGGAAAGTGTCAACTTCAAACTGAAAATATTCATCCTACTATTAAATTGCATAACAACGCAAAAAAGGGGAGCAGAAGTAGGCCGTTTGGCCCTTTTGAGCCTACTCCAACATTTGGTATGATCATGGCTGATCTTCCTAATTATGAGGAGATTTTATTTCAGCCCTTAATCTAAAGTCTTAAAAAGATAACTAGATAAGATTGAAAAGATAAATGCAGCAATTATTCCCTATCTCCCATTTCTAATTATTTTAACATAACGGTACATACTTCTGTGTCACAGAGTTGGTCAATGGATTCAGAGCAGATGTGAGAAATGCAAGCCATGTGGAGAGCATTTCTGCAAATGGAGGAGCTTTGCCTTCAAATGTTTCGTAGATACTAATGGTTATATGTGGCATCCAGCATATTAAAAGGAGAACTAGGAAAAAAGCAGAATTAATCAGTTTTAAAAACATACATGCCCTCATGAAATTGTTTTTTCCTTTGCACAGTCTCATGAATGAAGATTTAAATGTCAAGTGTTTCAAGCAGTATAGCTTTAATCTGACTGTCTGATCAAAATTAGCTTTTTGTGCCTGTACTCCATTAGCATCTTTAGTGCATTGTGTTTAATTTTTTGCACTTTCTTTTGTCAATTGTGTTTTAACTGAAAAAAAAGTCTGCAAGTCACAACCATCACAATAGTTCAACACATTGAACTTGTAACCGAGAAAAACAACTAAGTTATCAAGGCTATTTCATTTCTGTTCATTTATTGTTTTTGCCAAATGGCTTTTCCTGAGTGAACCTTTTTGCACTGAATAGAGAAGTCAAGTCTTGCGTTCAAGCTGTCTCTAAATATTATGTGCTCATGAGATGTGACAGTCATCTTCCTTAGGCAACTGTATACTTCCAACTGAAATTCTGAAGCATGAGGATCAAAGTGGAGTTTGAGCATAGGTGTGTATTTTTTGTTTGGTGAGGTTGGATAACACTGGCATGTGAAATGCTACTTTGGTTGGGGTTAGGAACTAGCGACGAGTGAAAGGCAAAGAGATGATGGGAACCAATGTGAGAAAAACGAACAGTGGTAGGTTTGCCAGTGAGGGAAGAAATACTTGGGGAATGAGAAGCAGTTGGAAGAGGTCTGCAGGTCAGGAGCTAGAGTGTGATATGTCAGGCATTGCAAAATTAATTAGGGTTTTTTCTTTATTGCTTGAATTGCACTGGAAATATTTTCTAGTCTGCAATTCTATGTTTTTGGAAGTTATAGCAGGGGCATTAAAAGGCTTGGCTAGTTTTGAATATTTACGTTTAGAACAGGAGTAGTACCAGTTGCATTATATAATAATATTCTTTATATTATGAAACCCCTTATTACCTGACCTTTGAACTAACGTAGGCTGTTCTTTCAATATTACTAAATTCAATTGATTATATAATGTGTTGATAATTTGAGATTATTTCTCACTCAAAACTGTTTGAGATATAATTTGACTTCCAAACATCATGAATCAAATATTTGTTACATTGACAAGTTTAATTATGAAACACATTTGCACTGTGAAATGAAGCTTGACATAGAATGCCACTTTCAATGACTGAGTGAACTGTTTTAGTTGTTTGAAATGCAGGATACTGAAGTCCCAACTTAGTTTTGCAGAAAAATGGAGTAATGTTGCTTTCTATTAAAAGATCTCCATATAGTCTTGGAATTTAATGCTGTGATTTACAATTTAATTCTGAAAGTTGAGTAAGTTTTAAAAGTTTATTTTCATTAACAAAAAAATTGCATCAAAGATTATTAACATTCTCATTTTGAAAAATTGAGATGTAATTATGACCAGATAATCTGACTGGGTGTTTTATTTCCCCTATTGTTATCTACAAAAGGACTTTGTTTTGCATAGGTCATGCAGTTCAAAATGTAAAACAAAGTTCACTATACATGCATACAAAAGCAAATAGATTTCTAAAAGGCAACTTACATGCCATTGAAATCAGCATGATTGTGCTCCTCAGGTAGCATTTTGCTGGCACAGAGTAACAGTGTTGATCATTGCATTCATAAGTTCCTCGTAATGTTTGATGTCTTGCAATTTGTACGACATAAACAGCCAAACAGCAGACTGTCATTAGTGGAAGAAGTACACCAATGGCGATAGTAACCAAACAATATGCTTTTAAAGAAGGATTAAAACTTGGTGCACAGATATACTTGTGTTCTACATATGTATATTGTCCTAATCCTAAAAAGGGCAAACTTGCATTGAGAATGCAGTAGATCCAGATAGAGAAAATGATTACCCAAGCTCGTTGTCTCGTAAACAGTTGTACGTAATGGAGAGGCAAACAGATTTCTGCAAATTTGTCAACCGTCACCCAGGTCATTGAATGAACAGAGGCAAGTTGTAGCAGTATGTAGAGAAAAGCAAAGAGTTGGCACCATGATTCCTGTCTGCTATAACAACCTCCATCAGGCAGAGTATTGTGAACTCCAGCAGGAATCACAACAAGTCCCAAGATTAAATCGCAGATACAGAGGTTAAACATAAGTACTGATGTGTCTTTCTGCAGCTTTCGGTTGAATCCAAGTATCAACAACAACAGCATATTTGCTGTAATGGATCCTACACAAGTCAGACTCATTAGCCAGGCATACAGAACTGTCATGGAAAGCATGTTCATTAAATATTCATTGTAATTTGAAGAAATTGTTGTTTTGTCAACCTTGATATGCACGGCGGGAAGTATTCAAGTCAAAAGGTATGGTATATAAGCAGGCATCCACAATGTTGCAGTCTTTCACTGTGAGTCATTCAGCATTCCTTTGTTGTATTTATGAAAGTAAGTCTCTGCAATAAAACGGAACTTTCCTAATCAGAAATAATAGCATATTATCATATTGAACTCTAAGGGAAAGTGGGAAAAGGTTTCTCTGTTTCAGATCCATAGACACCAACAACCTTACAATACCTCACCCAGCTGGCTGTTCTTAAACTCCTTCCAGGTGAAACAGTAACATATTTGTACTTTTCCACTTTAATTTACTGCATTTGTTGCTCCTGATGTAGTGTCCCGAACTAATGGATGATTATTTTATAGAGCACCTCTGCAAAGTCAGTAAAAATGACTGAAATTCTAGTTGTTTCTCACTTTAATTTTCCATCTTGCTCTCATTTTAACTTCTTTGTTCTTAGCATCTTACATTGTCCAAATGATATTCATTAGAAGCTTGAGGAACAGCACCTTATCTTTCAATTAGGCACTTCACAGCCCTCCAGCCTGTTCAATTCAACAATTTCTGATTGTAACATTTCTACTTTTCCAAACAGAAGCAGTTATTATTTCTGCTAATACCATTTATACCTCCTCTTGACCTTTATTTGTTTCCTTGTTTGATCCATTGCTGTCACTTTTTATACTGGACTGTTAGCCATTTTGTAATTCAATCTTTTCTGCTTTTGACCCTTTCAAAGGCCTTCTCTTTTTTATTCTTTCATTCTCTCCTCCTTTTCCAGCTCATGTACCTGTTACTTTTTTCCTAACTCTGGCAGAAGATTATTGACTCGAGACATTTTGTTTCACTGACCTTAGACACTGCCAGGTCTGAGTATCTCCATCCTTTTCTGTTTTCATTTTAGATTCCAGTATCTGTAACATTTTACTTTTGACTATTCTTTCTGTGAGACCAAGCTTCTGGCGCAAACTAAAAAATGTGCGCTTTGTTTAACAAATGCTGGCAATCCTGTATAAAAACTTTCTTTTTTTTTAAATTAAGTTTTAACATACTTTTAATTGGCATATGCTGGAATAAAAGTGATAATTATTATTGTTCGGTTCTGTTTGTATTGTGTTCAAAGCGTGCAGTTAATTAGGTGATCACAATTTTATGTTTTACTGAAATTGTGTACAAAACTGTGTATGAGTAAAGGTAATGAGATAACAAGGTGTAGCGCTGGATGAACACAGCAGGCCAAGCAGCATCAGAGGAGCAGGAAAGCTGACGTTTCGGGCCTAGACCCTTCTTCAGAAAAT